TGACACTGTCTAACCATCTCATCCTTTGCCGTCCCCGTCTTCTTTGACCTTCAATCTTTCCCAGCATCAGGGTCTTCTCCAGTGAGTGCTCCCTTCTCATTTGGTGGCCAAAGTATTTGAGCTTCAGTTTCATTATCTGGCCTTCCAGGGAACAGTCAGGGTTGATTTCTTTGAGGATTGACTGATTTGTTCTTCTTGCAGTCCAAGGGACTCTCAAGAGTCTTCTCCAGCACCATAGTTCAAAAGAATCTATTCTTCGGCGCTCGGCCTTCCTTATAGTCCAGCTCTCGCAGCCATACATGACTACTGGGAATACCATTGCTTGGACCATGCGTATTTTTGTTGGCAGGGTGATGTCTCTACTTTTTATCATGCTGTTTAGGTTCGCCATCGCTTTCCTCCCAAGGAGCAGGCGTCTTTTAATTTCATGGCTGCAGTCACAGTCTGCGGTGATCTGGGATCCCAGGAACGTGAAGTCTGTCACTACTTCCACGACTTCCCCTTCTATTTGCCAAGGAGTGATGGGGCCGGATGCCATGATCTTAGTTTTTTTGATGTTGAGCTTCAAGCCCACTTTTGCGCTCTCCTCTTTTACCCTGAGCAAGAGGCTCTTTAGGTCCTCTTCACTTTCTGCCATTAGAGTGGTATCGTCTGCATATCTGAGGTTGTTGATCTTTTCCCCAGCAATCTCAATTCTGGCTTGTGATTCATCCAGGCCAGCATTTCGCATGATGTACTCTGCATATATATTAAATAAGCAAGGTGACAGTATACATCCTTGTCGTACTCCTTTTCCTATGCTGAACCAATCAGTTGTTCCGTATCCGGTTCTAACTGTCGCTTCTTGGCCCTTATACAGGTTTCTCAAGAGACATGTGAGGTGGTCTGGTACTCCCATCTCTTTAAGGACCTGCCATAGTTTGTTGTGATCCACACAGTCAAAAGCTACTTAGAGCCAAATCAGCTTTGCAGTTCCAAATAGAGAAGCCCAGCACTGAAGCAAGGGCCAAGCCAAGTCCCACAGCAGGCCCCGCTGGAAACAAAAGCAAGGGAGCAGATTCAGTGGAAATACCTCCCCACCCAATCCATCTCCATCCTCGCAGCAACCAAGGTACTTAGAACGAAATCAGTTTTGTAGTTCCAACTAGAGACCCCCACCCCTGCTGCCCCCACATGAGCCCCTCTGGTCTCTACCTGGACTTGGAGTCCTGCAGGCTGTACACTGGTGGAGGGAGGAATGGATGCTGGAAATGCGACAGCATAAAAATGAGGGGGTAATCGTAATCCACAAACCCCAGCCAACCAGGCCCATGGAGGATGAAGGAGGAGGAGGAGGAGGAGGAGGAGGAGGAGGAGCTATGGCCCAGGGCTGTGCAGGATAGGCAGAAAGGCTCATGTGCTCTGCTGCTGTAGTTTGCTAGGAAGAGGAAGTGGCAGCGTGGCTTAGCTTGTATTTGGCAGGCTCTTTGCATAGAGCTCGCCCACTGTTCCAAAAGTCCAATGAAAGGCGAGGGTAAGGCAGCCAATGGTCAGAGGTCAGAGTGGGGACTCAGGCTCCTCTCCTCTTTCTCTTTGTCCCCTTCTCCTGCTCTTCTCCTGACTGTGCAACACCGCGATCGATCAAGGGTGAGGGGGCTGGGGGGAAAGGGGGAGCCGAGGTTCGGGGAGGGGCCCATAAAAACCACAGGGGGCCACTACTGCTCCTGCTGCTGTGCAAAGTGGGGGAGGAAGCAGACAGGAGTCTGGGAGAGTGATGAGGACAGAAAGAGAGAGTGATGGGGTGGGGGGGCAGAAAGAGAGGAAGAGTGATGAGGTGGAAAGGCAGAAAAACAAAGAGAATGATGAGGGGGCAGAAAGAAAGAGAAAGTAACAAGGATGTAGGAGACATAAAGAACAAAAAAAGGGGGTAGATGGGAGAAAGAGTGTGGAAGAGGTAGGGGGAGAGGGGAGGAAGCAAAGGTGTGAGGTGGTGGCTGAAAGTCTCCTAGAATTACATCTGGCCTCCAGCCTACAGAGATCAGTTTCCCTGGAGAAAATGGCTGCCTTGGAAGTTGGTCTCTATGGCAATATACCTTACTGAAGTCCCTCCCTTCCACAGGCTCCACCCTCCAAAATATCCAGGAATTTTCCAACCCTGAGCTGGCAACCCTATCCATTGTCAATCTTGGTGCAGCTCCAGGAACATCCAATGCAAAGCTCTGGAAATCCACCACCGAGAAATTAAAGCTGTATAACTTGTGGCTCCATATTTTTCTAACTTCCCCAGCCATGTCTGCCAGATCATTCATCTGAGCCAGGACTTCTATCCATTGACATCTCCTATTTCCGCCCCCTTGCACACAGTAAGCCCTAACAGAGAACTCCATAGCACTGATGAAGATCACTTAGATTCCCTGGCACTCTCTGTAGCTATGTACCCATCTACCGATGGAATTATTGCTGCCTGTTCAAGTACTTAGCCCAAAAGTCTGCAAACAATTTAGCTTTAGGATAAGCCCATGGATCTCATTTTTACTGGTTCCAGGCCTCAGAGCCCAGCATTTAGAACACACTTTAGGGATTATAGAAACAATCTATTTTTAACTTCTTGCTGTCACATGATAGTTACTGTACATGCAATTAGATCTCACCACTACAGCATAACCACCCTGCTATAAATAATTCCATTTATATCATCCGAGACTCTGTATTTGTGGGGGCAGCTTCTCAACTAATTCTGGACCTACCTGAGCGTCATTCCTTTGGGCCCAGATTTCCCTAGTTGAATCACAAGAATGTTGTGAGGACACAACTCTGAACAAATTTGATGTATCTATTATTGTTGGTTTTGTTTTGTATTAAGAATGGAGAAGCTCTGTAAAGTAGAATTCTAGAAAATGTGCTATAAAAATTCCATATTTTGCCACAAAGGGCCTTATTTCTTGTACAGAACATGTAGGGCACAGTGGACAAATTGACACAGAACTTATGTACATTTTTTATCTTACTTCATTCTTAGCATGTTGGTTGGTTTACCAAAAGTTCAGAAGCCATTTTTTTTGTAATTAATCTTGCAGAATTTTAAAGTTTGCCAAATAGTGAACTTGGTCCAAATATAATGCATAGTCTATGGTCTAAGGCATTATGAACCACATACTGTAAAATGCTGTTGGGCAATATGTAGAGAGAAGATGATCCTTACCCCATGAGTCCTATATTCCAATGTTGGACGATTTTATTATATATTATACCAGTTTAACATATTTTATTCTGTGTGTTCAGTTTTATTCTTTGTATTATAAGCTGGTGAAAGCCATTAAATAAATAAACTTTGGAACTTTTACATTTGCCAAACAAACACACACGCACGCACACACTCCATACTACACAATGCCCTTCAGTGCTGGATTAGAAAACTTTGGTTTCTCCTCTCCACATTCCCAATGTCTCCTTTACAATCACAAGGCACAGACATTGCATTTTTAGATGAAAGCTGAGATTCTGAAGATTCTAGATACTCTTTGAGGTTCACCAGTCAGATAGCTAGATTCCAAGTGACACATGGCAATCACAGCATTTTAAGTTTTAAGCATGTGGGAGTTGTGTTGTGGAGCATAATATTGGTTAGTAATTTGTTGTACTGGCTTACCCTTGCCCACGCCGGAAAGAGCATCTGTGATCACTACAACTTTACTCCGCACAGCAGATTTTGACATCAGCTGAACAACTGACCGATAAATATATATTATCCCACTGACTCCAACTACAAGTAATGGGAGAATAAGCACAGCCAGGGCACCCATCTTCACCTGATAGAAGGAGAACAGATTTAGGTGACAGAAGAGATTGGTCATTCTTGCCACAGAAATACTGACAATTATTATTCTTCGACCAATGAAAGCAAGCAGCAGAATTGGTAATATCTCAGGCCAATCCTTAAATCATAAACAAATATTACTCATTCAACCGCTTCCAATGCACAGCAGTTCTATAAAACTGCTCAGAGCAGATCTCTTCTTTGGACTCTCAGCGTTTTCAAATAAATAATATTTTGATCTTACAAAACTGAAAATACAACAAAACTTATTTTAAAATCATTTTAGATTAATTACTTTTATCCCTTTATTATTGCACACTATATATGAAGAAGTGTACTTTGTATACGAGAACTTACACTTTGAATAAAACTTTGTTGGTCTTAAAGGTGCCACTGGACTCAAACTTTGTTCTATATACAAACAGCTTAATGAGATTGCAACAGTCAATTCAGTTTGTGAGAGACATTGCCCTGAAACTGAAAGACAATAAATCTAAATTAATAAATCTGAAATACAAAAACTGAAAGACAAAAAATCTAAATTAATAAAAACTAATTATACTCTTTTAACATCTACCAGAAGTATAACAACTTACTTGGAATTGCAAGCAATCAGCAAACTTATAAGGTGTTCTCTCCTGCCAGCTATTTTACATTAGAAGTTTAATCAAACTCGCAAGCATTTTTGGAAAGGAAAAGCACTCCATGTTCTGAAGCCTTTTGCCTTGAGCAAAGGCAACTATGTATAGTGCTCAGCTGCATGACAGACTTCTAAAAGTAAATATAGTACTCACGGTCTGAGCCACATACCTGACCTATTTAGTTTCACATGGGTATGAAGTCCTTCTAGAGTTTGCAAGAGTGACTAATGTAACAATATAAAGACACTGCAGGTATACTCTTCATTTATAGGGTGAGAGAGAGTTTGGCAAGAAAGGCAAGATAAAGCTAAATTTGTTCTCACTAGAAGGTATATTTTAGAAGCCCAGAGACAACGGTGACACTTTTGTCCATTCCTTAAATGTTACACTGGAAAATTAAGCCTGGTCTACATTATACAGAATAAGGAAATGGCAGAATTCTGAGGTGGCAAGATGGGCTTCTCCACTGCAGACTACAGTTAGGCAAGGCCAGTTCTGTGGACATGCCACCCAATCAACTGCTTGGGGCAGCACAGTGAGGAGAGTACCAACTAAACATATGGGTGTGGACCCAGCTAGTAGCAGGGTGGCAGAAGGAAATAGGAACTCTTTGGTAGAGGCAATAAATATGTTGAATTGGTCCTGCAGGAAATGAATCACCCTTTTAATGCTCCCCCATATAAGAAACCCCCCCCCCAAAGAAAAGCATCCCAGGGAGAAAGGTTCTAGCTTAGCTCTTTGCATACTCTGATAGATTTCTACTTACAGGGAATTAGTAATAGAGAGGAACTTTGAGAAATAAGAACCAGGGCTATTTTTGGGCAGGAACACACAGGAATGGAGTTCCGGCTGGCTCCCGAGTTGGCCACGCCCAGCAGGAACTCATTAGCATAATAGGCCACACCCAACAGCAGAAACTCATTAGGACTGGCTACATTAGGGGTGTGTGGCCTAACATGCAAAGGAGCTCCTGCTACAAAAAAGCCCTGGGTTTTGACAACAAACAAGGTAAACAGAATAAGAAGCAAAAGGTGCGTGTGGCTGGATGGCCACACTTCTGCGAACATGGGGTGTGTAGCTTAATATGCTAATGAGCTGTGCTGTCAGGGGTGTGTCCTAATAAGCAAATGAATTTCTGCTGTTGGGTGTGGCCTATTATGCTAATGAGTTCCTGCTGGGTTTTTTCTACAAAAAAAGGCCCTGAGAATTATTACAAATAAATAAACATGCTTTTACCTAGTAGGGGTTGCAGAGTTCCAGTTCCAGTGCTAAAAAAGCGCCTGTATGCATATGAGCATCTAGGTGAAAATAAGTTTATGTCTTTGGACAGATCTTCAAGGCTGTGATTAGATAATGGACTACAGAGAGGGTGATATCCTTATCTTTATCAGACAACAGATATATTAGGTGGTGATCATGAGAACTTACAGGGAAATGTGATATTAATGGAGAAATAAAAATTGATCGTATTGAGGAATATAAATCACAACTAAATAAAAAATGAGTGATTCTGTCTATGCATTTCCACATGGGCAGGCTCTCTGTTCAATCAGACTACTTGAGAATCTACTGAATAATTCGTTAAGGGGTAGGGCATTGTGTTGAGCCCAGAAGAAAAGTCTTCGATAAATTGTGATTGTTAAAAATTACAGATAATCTGGAAGCACTGAAAAAGGAGGGGTACTCAGTCCCTCAAAAGAGGGTCACATTTCCTTTTTGAATTGCTGCATAACTCAAAGTTGCCCCTTTGTTCTAGGCTAGTAATTAACTTATTCATAACTAAATGAAGATCTGAGAGAAAACTAGGGTAAGAAATATGCAGATATGAGAGTCTTTTGTCTACTCACTTTGTCCAGGAAGATACGAAAAGATTAAGTTTGGTCCATTTTAGAAGGTAAGGAAGAAAATCCAGGTCTAGCAAATAAAACCTAAATTTCACCACACCCTTCCATACCATCAAAGAGATGGAAGTAAGGCCGACTTCTAAGTACAAGTCGGAGTGTGAAATGTGATTAGTCATTTGAAAGATGGCATGCAAAGATTCAATTTTGGAAGTAAGGGCTGGAAACTGGAGTGGAGCCCTGTAGAGCAGAAAAGATCTAATTTTTGCTTTGTAGACTTCCAGAGCAAAAAGTACAAATTACCCTCTGGAATGATTAAAAAAAAAAATCTCATGATTGCTGCTAGATGTACTTTGGTGGACTTAAGGAGACTAGAATAATGAAATTTCCAGTTATTAGAAGAGGCAAAATGAAGGTCTAAATACTTGAAATTAGACTCTTGCTCAATCAAATGCCCATTCAGGATCCTTTTGAGAGAACTAAGCTCACTAGATAAAATTCCCACCTCTTTCTCTTCTTTAAAATCATTCCTCAAAGATTTCCTCACTGTTCTGTGAACCTAAATTCCTGTAACTGAACTGCACGTATTTACCCATTTGCTCTGACCTCACTATCTTCTGCTGACTCCCATGTATTACTTTCCCCGGGGCAGGAATCTGTCTTCTTGTTAGTGTTTTGCAAGGTAGTATGCTTGTTAATGGTACTTCAGACTGCCAACTTTAGATTGTGGAATTCCTGGAAATTTGTGGGTGAATCCTGGAAAGGGCAGAGTTTGGGGAGGGGAGGGACCTCAGGGGGGTTAAATAGCATTAAATCCACCCTCCAAAGCTGGCATTTTCTCCAGGGGAATGGATGTCTGTTGTCTGCAGATAAGTTGTAATTCCTGGAGATGTCCAGGCCCACCTGGAGGCTAGCAACCGTAGCACTGGTCTATATCACTAAATAACCAACATGCAGATGACACCCAGCTCTCTATTTCATTATCCAGGGATCCAGATGCATCTGTCTTGAACTGGTGCTGTGCGGCTGTCAGGTGGCTAACGGAGAACAAAACTGAAGCTGAATCCAGACAATACACAGTATATCCCTCAAAGAGTTTTACGCTCTAATAATCAACATCTCCTGGTGGTCCCTGGCCCAAAAGACATCCATTGAGCCTTGACCAGGGCCAGGGCCTTCTCTGCCCTGGCCCCACCTAGTGAAACATGCTCCCCATTGAGATCAGGGCTCTGTGGGATCTTGGGTCAGTCACAAGCTCTGGCACAGCTCTGGCACAGCTGTTTCTGAAAGAGCAGTTTGTGTCAGAGTTTGTAAGCTGCTCTGAGACTCCAAGTGAAGGGCGGGGTACAAATCCAATCTCTTCTTCTTCTTCTTCTTCTACTCAGTTCTGCAGGGCCTGCAAGACGGAGATGTTCCATCAGGCTTTTGGTCCACATATGGCCTTGCGTTTGCGCGCTGGGAGACCCCCATCGTCACGCCGGTCAAACCGAATGGTGATGTCCATATATGTGCCGATTATAAGTGCACTATCAACAAAGCCTTGCAGGACCACGCTTACCTGGTCCCAGTGGTAAGCCACGTCTTAGTTTCCCTTGCAGGAGCCAAGGTCTTTGGTAAGCTAGACTTGGCACAAGCTTACCAGCAGTTGCTGGTCGATGCGGTGGCCGCTGAGGCACAAACCATCGCTACGCATAAGGGGGCGTTTCGGGTGACTAGGCTGCAGTTCGGTGTATGTGTAGCCCCTGGGATTTTCAAGTCATTTATGGATTCCCTCCTCAAAGGCATCCCAGGAGTACAACCTTTTCTAGATGATGTCATCATTGCGGTGCCGGACTCCGCCACCTTCGCTGACCAGCTCCGGGCAGTGCTCCAGAGGTTCGACTCCGCTGGCCTCAAGGTGAAGAAAGAAAAGTGTCTCCTCGGGGTGCTGTGCATCGAGTTCCTGGGGTTTGCGGTGGACGCCCAGGGTATCCACCCCACAGACGATAAAATTCGGGCAATTATGGGGGGCCCGACTCCCACTTCCAAATCTGAACTGCAGGCTTTCTTGGGCCTGCTCAATTTTTATCATGCCTTTCTCCCCTTGAAAGATGCCATGGCGGAGCCCCTGCACCATCTCCTGGACAATGATGCGCCCTGGGTCTGGACAGCTGCTCACGCAACGGCATTCCAGGGGGTCAAGGACTTGCTCATTTTAAAAAAACTTTTTAAAATCATTTTTCCAATTATTCACAAACTTTCCTTCTTCCAATAACTTGAGTCTTATCTAAACTTACATACATTCATTCTTTTATACATTTGAATCTAAATTTTCCCATATTTCATGAATCCATTTGTATACTCTACCCCATCTTTTATTAAACACACTTCCATCTTTTCCTTGAAGGCTTATAGTTAGTTTATCCATTTCTGCTACTTCCATCAACTTAATTATTATTTCCCCTCTTGTTGGGAATCTATCTCTTTTCCAATATTTAGCCATTAATATTCTAGCAGTGGTCACTATATATATTAACAAACATTTGTCATTTTGTTTATAATCCTCTGGTATCATGTTTAGTAATACTATTTCCGTAGTTAACACCAAGTTTATCTTCACAATATCCATAATAAGTTTTTGTATCTCTTTCCAATACTTCTCTACTTTCCACATGTGGAAGAACGTCCCTATATTTTTTTTACATTTCCAACATATTTTAGACATTGACGGGTAACATTTCGCTAACCTATCTGGGGACCAATACCATCTATGATACACTTTGTAGATATTTTCTTTATAATTAGTCGCTCTTACATATTTTAGTGATTTCCATGTACTTAACCATTGGTCTATTGTATGCCCTATGTCTTTCATCCATGTTATCATAGTTGAGCTAACCATTTCGTCTAACATAAATTCTTCTAATAGAAAGCTATATATTTTCTGGATCGTTTTATCACTCGAGGATAACCAGATCTTATCTAATTGTGTTTTTTTTCCCTTGGAACCCTACTTTCTTATCTTTAGTATATCTAGATCTAAGTTGCATATTTTCCCACCAATTTAGCTTTATTTTATATAGTTTTAGTAGTATTTCTTCTGATTTTAGACTATTATTTTCATCTAGCAGTGTTTGATAGCTTTCTCTATTGCATGGGTTTACAAGGGATGGTTTTATATATGCCTCTAAAGGTGAGACCCATTTCGGCGTCTTCCTATAATACTTTAATTTCATTCCATACCCATAATAAGGCCCCTCTAATCATATGTTG